CCGCAGTGCCTTTGGTGGCACCATGCTAAACCACACTCCAGTCTAGTTGCTTCAGTTGTACCGCTACTGGCAACGCAGCTCGTCCAAATCTAAACTAGTGGACCGGAGCGCTTCCAAATCACAACTAAACTAGTGGGCGGATCGCTTTTGGGGCGGAGTGCTTTCGAAGTCCTGCTCAGCAACCAGCGCACCTTCCGTCGTGAAAGCGCACATCTCGCTTCCCTGGCAGCCAAGTAACTGATTCGTGTGGCACATATGCTTCCCCGATGCGCTCCCTCTTTATAGATTCCAAAACCACTCCGCCCACTAGTTTAGTTGGTGATTTGGACGAGTAATCGCTTCCTTCAACGGCCAGAATGAAGTGTTTTCAGCTTCGTATGATAGTTGAACATGCGACAAAAGAAGTTCAGCGACTGAAAATCATTGAAGTGCCATCGATGCGATTCTTCGAACAAGTAATTCTTCATAGCCTCGGTTGGATACGAAAATGCTAAACACGCTGAGAAGTTCCTCATAATATGTACCCTCCTTTCAAAAAACGAGAAGAGCGTCGGGTGCAGACCATACACCACAAGTGACGACGGCCTCCACAAAATGTAAATGTTTTCTGCCAATGAAATGATTAGCCTGTTGCAGTTGTATTCTATCAGTTGTCACTAATTACAACTATCATTTACCAAAAATCAGCTATCACTATGAACCACTACTAACCAGATTTACTTGGAGGCCGTCGTCACTTGTGGTGTATGGTCTGCACCCGACGCTTTCTCGTTTTTTTGGGTAAGATCTCGAATTCTCATACCTGATGGGGTTTTTGTGTCCTACAGTACTCGTCTAGAGATGACTGAATCTTTTCTTGGATAGTTTCCACTTTCAACGGCTCGTTCAATGACGGAGTATCTGAAATAAGCGCTGCAAGCACTTTTGCCCGGATGATTGAAGCCGTTGCTCTGTCTTTGTCTAGTTTTTGCCAGCAATCGGACGAGGCTAGTTGTCCGGAATTTATCTCGAATTGGATCGCTAGGTCTCTCATAATGGATGGGGTGCAAGTGTATGGCACGATGCAAATTGCCGATTACGCCCCTCCTCCGCCGGCGGCCACTTCGCAACTCCACGGCCGGGTTACGGTAGCTCGGCGGAGCAACGCTTTCATCCTTTCACTCGCAGGGTGTTCAAGGTTGTTGGTGGTGAAGGTTTGAGGTCTTTTGATTATTAAAGGAATTGCGCGACCAAATCCCTGATTCTACTTCACCATAACAATCAACCTAACTGAGACTCATTTTCCACGATAATAGTGAAAAGAAACTGAAGTATTGCTTTCGTTTTGATTAGAAATTCGAAAACTCGAAAAGGCTGCTACGCGTTCGAATTGCCCACGGACGTCTTTCACGAATGCTGGCGACGGGGATGCTCAAACTTGGTTCTTGGAGTGCATTCACTAGAAGCTCTTTCTGGCCTTCTGCTTCGTTGCATTCACATCTTACACTTCTACTCCATCCTATTCCATCGATCGATTTGTCTCCACTCTCCGAAATCGCGCGCTTTAACCCGATTCTCTCATTGCGTCGCCTGGTACGTAGCCGGCCAAACGCCGTCTTCTTTCCATGCCTCGCCTGGCTCTGCCTCCTGGTCCTTCGATGGTCCATAACGTGTAGTTTTTGTACGTTTGTTTCTCTTCAGAAACCGAATCTTCATGCGTGAAACTTTGTGTGCTATTTCCAGTGATCACAACTGACATATTCATGTTAGGAAAGAGTGCAAGAATTTTCCGCGCAAGATTCCTTTAAAACAGGAGATGTAAGAGAAGAAGCTTCGTAGGTTTACTTCGTATAATGTTATCCAAATTTTGGTCATAAAAAGCGCTTTGTCACTAAATAGCGAGTGCGTACCCACATTAACCAGCCTAACACACAGCACGACACTTGACAATGCCGGTCTTCTCTACGCTGGCAAAATTAACCTGTCAAGTGATGTGAGCGTTAGTGACCACTCCATAGAATATCTATCCAGGCCGGCAGAGATCCCACACATTTTGAGGCAGCCCTAAGCTTCCACAACGCGACGTCAGCATCGGAAATGAAGCAACGGTGAGCGCAATCCCTGGAGAATCCATGATCAGTACAGTTGTGGTAGAAATTCTGAGATCGCTAGCGCACCAACGGCGCCGGATTTTCTACGATAGGGTCGTATTCAGGCTTTGTAAGCACGCAAAATTTGGAGAAGGAGGTGCTTATTTAGACGTGGTGATCGATTGTGCGGGATAAGCTGCGAATCGGTGCGGGTTTTTCCAATAAGCTTTGGGCGAACAACTTCACAAAAAAGAATCGGAAAATGGGGATTTGTCAAGAAGCGGGCTCATTTGTGACGGCCATTTCTTCCCCCTCCTCTATCTTCTCTACCTCCGCTGCCACCCGGCCTTTTGGTGAACTCAATCGTTGGAGATCACGGATTGGTTTGTTGATGAGTTTGAGTGTGTCAAACAGCATGATGGCCAGTTTTTGGTGGTCGAGATATGGAAAATGGGGGGGCGGGCGTCCGTATTGGAAATTGCACCTAAGCTACCGTGACGCGTTAATAGAATCCTTATAAGGGGACGTGGGTCGCTAATCCTTGGAAAATAGAACAATGTGGGTTAAAACTCTTGGATCAATCCAAAGTGTAAGTTGATGGAGTATGTCAGGACGTACGGAAACAATTCGTCTTGCCGGACACATGAGGTCATTTTCATAACCCAGCGCCATTCAGCTTCTCAATTACAATTATAAAGTGCAGTATTTCGGGCGGAATGATTTTTTCAATTAAATCAAAGCTGCCGCTGCATGTCGTGGGGGGGGGGCGACATTTAAAGGACGAATTCACGATGAAAAAGCAACCCATTTCAAATTAACCTAGGGATGGTGAGTGGTACACGAAAGAAGGAAGAACCATGAGAAACGGCCCAGAACCCGAGAAATGGTACCCCTTCCTTGCCCGTTGATTCGAGCATTGATGCGACTCTCATCGCTGTGCCCTCTTCAACACTACGCTCTCTCAGCTATCTAATCACTCGCCACGTATTGAACTACGGCGAGTGATCAGATGATCGGTGGGCGGAGATCGCCGGACCCGCCAGCTTTGAGGCATGATAGGTCGCCGAGGTCAAATTTTTCCATGCGAATTGCGCGTCAGTTCGCACCCTCAGGAGGTCCGTGGGTCCCTCAACTAGGTCAGTTTCCCTTTCTTCGACCTTCATTCTAATCGTGAATTCCTCCTTTAAGTGCATTACTTACGAAGTATTAATTTTTTTTGGAGACTAATCCTTTGTAGAAGGAAATGTTCTGGGAATGAATGTTTGAACAGCAATTCCTTCCCCAAGAAACCATTTCCCTGGCATTTCACCTCTCTCCAACTATCCCTAATGTCAGGCCATTGCTCCCCTCTCTTGTAAGATGATTAAGGGCAAGCGTACCCTAGTTGTCACTACAAGCGCTTCAACGATGCCGTCCGTTTCCACCATGTCCCCCAGGCCATGACGCTTATAACTGCATGTATACGCCGGCCTATGGCAATGCGCTGTCCGAAGAACGTTTTTCGTGAAGACCAAGTAACCCACTGGGTTGAAAGTACTGCGCTTGATGCTGTTGATCTCCGAAGAAATCCACATATGACTGGATCGGCCAGCGTTCGACGTGCTCCTAAAAGGGGCTCTACCATCACAAGCATAACTCCAGTCCTCAGCAAAGACTCATAACTATGTAACCACCAATCAAGCATGATGCCAATTCTTGCGTTCGCCGCTTGCCGTTTGAACCTGTAAGGAATCGTGGCTGCTAGCAGCACAAAAGCATAAGCAAAGTTTGTACCCCCCCCCCATTTCCCAGTGTGATTGCAGTAAAAGTAATCTGTAAGTAGTCAAACTGAACTTGAGACCTGTTGGTCAAGTGGGTTAGTCGTGATGCAAAGAGGGACTTTTGTGGTTTGGTCCTCCGCCGACAGATAAAATTCTCTGAGCCTATTAACAAGGTGATTAAAGTATTAACCTGATCTTGTTGAGTGAGATCGTTGAAGAACGACAGCTGTCTGGCCCAATCCACTGTACTGTACAAGAAATTCGTGCCAACATCTCTAGCCGGAAAGCAATTCGGCAAGGGTGCTTATCTGAAATAAGCAGTGCACAGGGGTTTGGACATCGACCCAATAAGACGTTTATCCCTACCCTGCTCGAATCAGGCGAGAACCGGTCGTCGCTTGTCGTTCCGGAGTTCATCATCAGTGGGTGGAAGAACGGCAAAGGCGGTCGTGGCATAAACGGTGGTGGAAAGAGATAACTGAGAAACGGTGGCCCATTGTGCAGTCTTCCACGTTGAACTGCTGAATTATTGGACTCACGAATGGAAAGTGAAGTTGAGAAAGGGATTAAAACAACCATCACCTATCAGCTCTTTCTGACACCGTGCATTCAAGTTTCCATCCAGAACATCGATGCGATTGGAATGCGATCTTTCGTCGCTTCTTTATCACAAGGTACAATGGGGCATCCTCTAGAAGCTGAGCCTAAGGAAGGGGAAGTTATACGAAAGGTGAAAATTGCTCATGCTTCCTAGCATCTTCCCTCTCCCAAATAGAGCTACGGTTAGCCGCAACATCAATGAAAAGGCAATGTTTACGCGATTGTAAATGCCTTAACCGCCAGAATGCCCCCATATATTGCGATAGCACCACGATTCGGCTTACAAAGGTTATGAGAAGTGGGCGACCGATGGCGCTAACGTAGTTGGAGGGGGCCACGTGACGGTGCTCTGCCTTGCCCTGCGTCTCTTAAGCTTAGTCGCTAAAAGCCAGCTGCTCTTTTCGCCACTACACGCACAGTTTCGAAATACCGCGAACCCAGAAGCGCAGACGAACAGAGCAACACGCCACCGCGTGGCCCCCTCCAAGTACGTTAGCACCACCGATTTGCCCAGGATATTTCAGTGCCCTTTGATTTTTATCCCTACAGTGCCAAACTTGACATAACGTTCGTCCCGAAGGACACTGATAACGTCAAATATATTTCATGCTAGACTGCACTAGAGTTTCTGAGGTAATATAGAAAGAGACGCTATCGCAAGGTACGAAGGACATCCGTAGAAATAACCGAGGAGGGTCCGAAGCTCGAGCAATAAGATTGCTCACGCTTTCTGAAGCCTCACCACCCCCTAGCTAGTTCACTCCACGTGAAAAGCAGACCCTCATGTGGGTTAGACTCTTTGAACAAAAGAGATGTTTCAAGTGCAATTGCCACTAAAAACAGTGCCCCCGTATCATGCGATAGCGCCAAGAAAAGATACGAAGCAGTTCTATTTATTTGTGTTTCCGAGTTTGGGGCGGGAGAAAACCTAAGATAATATTCTCATAATCTGAACAGAAGGGCGAAGACTCATGGACTCGCCCAAACAGCGCTGCGACAAGATAGCCTGAAGAACATTCTGAACGCTCACCTTCCCTTCTCATGCCCATTTTGACGCATTTTCTTCAGTCGACAGAACTGACACTGATTTCGGTGATTCACATCAACAGGACAGTTCTTTGAACCTCGACATGTGTACGAAAGTGAACGTCTGATGGACCTAAAACTCCTTAGTAAGGCGTTAACAGACTAAACGGCCGCGTGAATTGAACTCGGATCTACTACTAACCGTTTGAAGAAACTTTTACAGCCCTCGCACGAGAACTGTCCATAGTGTTTACCGCTGGATTTGTCACCACAAACCACACAGTCGGCCACAATCCCGTCCGAATTCGACGACGATGCCGGTGGTGACGGGGAGGCCTGGAATACGGTAGGTCTGTAAGGATGTGAGTAGGTGTAAAAGCATGTGTGTGAGTGTGATGGAGATCAGATGGCAGCGCATCATCAGCCGCTCATCAATACGCCTGGGTTTCGCTCCCTCTAAATCACTGGTGGTGAATGCGGTCGTGGGAGCCCATAATCTTTCTTTGCGATCTCTTAAACGATGCCTGGCCCCAGCGGCAAAAACGCGAACGCACGCAGGCGCAGGAGCAGCGCCGACGCGTTCCTCAATCCCATTTATTATGAGTAATTCGCACATCTGATTAGAATAAAACGATCGTCGACTGTCCAGATGACAGCTGACATCGTCCGACGGGCGAACTCTGCCCCGAGGCCGATCGGGGTCAACCACAGCTCTCGGATTTAGCTCCCAGATTGAAATCGGTTGGGTAGGGAGAATTTCAAAAGCAAAAATATCTAAAATATCTCATGTTTTGTCATTTGTCTCAGTGAAACGCTGTCCCGCTGCGTTCTGGCTCGTGAATTGGCCCATTTTCTTGCACAGGGTTTTCGGGAATAGTGATTATCCCCTGCCATCGACAGCCTTGAGGCGAAAGCTCATATTTGTAGGACTGAGCAGGAAGGGCTTAGGGCTTTGTCTGTGACTTAATATGAGCGGTCATAAGTGATCGCCGAGTTAATTTTTCATTCATAATTTTTCCCTGGTA